TCCCAGTATTTAAAAAAAATCAAGTCAACCTTCAATATTGCAGTTTTTTTTTTCATGTTTAATTCATTAACGCGCAGTGACGCCCTCTACCGCCTTTTCAGAATTTCATATAATAAACTGTTTGCTGTTTTGTAAATAATAGGATACAACCATAAAGATACATGTATATTTAATGAAAAAATAAAGAAAAAATAACATGTTTCCTACGTTAATTTTTTTTGTGCGATGTTAAGAAATGATTGTAAACTTGAAGTAAAAATTGGATGTCCTTGCAGACAGTTGATAAAAAGTGTGCTTAAATGTCGAATTTCGAGCTTTCTTCTGTTGGATTATCTTTAGTATTGTTTGTTGTTTAACGTCCCTCATAAGAATTGATCACTCAGATGGAGATGTCGCTATCTTAAATACAAAACATAATATATGAAACAAAACACAATTTTAACTAAAGTTAATACCTAATCTGAATGCTGTCCGGTGTAAGTCATGGCTATGGGTTACATATAGCGACATCTTTTTGCTAAAACACCAGGGTTGTACCACGTTACTTTTTACTTATCTACATAATTTCACGACAGAAATCTGAAGTAATTTTAAGATTAACAGACAAAAACATTAAATGTTGTGTTTATATATATTTACTCACAAGAAATGACTTGGAGAGAAGGCCTGACGAAAAAGTTACCAAGTGTAATTATGTTGGAGATGCACTGCAAGATATAATGAAAAGGAAATACATGTAGTACGTGTATAATTACCTTTTATTCATGATAGTGAAGGATAACATATAAGCAATGATTTAAGTAATTGATTTTATCTATGTGTCATGTACAAGTCTAACATCTTTTTCTTTTAAAATATCCAATTATGAAACAGATGTTACATGCTCTTTGATAATTTTCAAACGCACTAACTGACACCTGCACAGTGCAATGGTTAGAGTATCTGCTCTAGAGGTGAAGAGTACGGAGTTAATCCTTACGTCACGGGTTGAATCCCACTTTGGGAAGTGGGGACAGGCCCTTCTGATTACATCGTATAAATCGGGGCCACGTTGTCGCAGAAGCTGTTGGCACGAAAAAGATCTCTAACTGCTTAATGGCCGTAATTGCCGAGTATAGGGCAAACTTTGCAGCTCTCCAACGGCAAGTGGTTGCGTCTCCATATGAGTGAAGAATTCTCGAGATCGGGATGTTAAACAACAAACAAAGAAAACATGCTCACTAACCTGATCCAGAAGTTTAAGCCCACTCCTCAATGGACCTTACACGGCATTCATATGTCGACACGATAGACCTCAGTGATTTTGAAATAACTGAATAAAACACAGAGTCTGAGACATCCGTGTCGTTTTTGCATATTCTACTAGAAATAGATCGACGCTATTAGAAACCTAATGTTACAGATTTTCCCCTTACCTAAAACAACCCACAAAATTGGATCAACCCCGATTTATGCCCTGGATATTATATGTATATGTCGTAATTTTATTTCTAGATATCATGGGAATATCACCAATCATCGTATGTTATTAATATAGGCTTTATAATTCATCGTATATGTTTATTTCATGAATATTGTTTGGTTGTATAGTACAAACCCGAATTTCCTCCATTGATTAATCCTATCGTAATAACAAATGGCCGTCTGGCATTGTTATTCAACTGATGTAACTCAAAAACAACTTGGCATCATCTCCAAAGTAATTCCCAACCAATAATTCCTCCTTTTCCAGCGTTTGTAACACTTTTTAGAGCCTTGTTTACTTGGTGCAAAGTTGTTGACAAATGTCGCGCGAATAATGGCGGCACCGCACGTTATTCGCACGTGGAGTATTTCTCACCTACCGACCAAAAGGTAATAAACGATCCGAGAGACAAACTCCAGTAGTGCTTGCGCTGCTCAACCAGGCATGGTGCCTTCAGTGCCCATCAGACTGGTACTCTACCCATAGGTACGTTTTGTACCATTAGTTTGGGTAGGCCTGATGCCATTACAAACCCAGTGTTTTCGGGTCCCCATGCTTTTCCTGGGTAAACTCACCATTTTATGGGTAAAATACCCATTTTGTGAGTAAAACACCCATTTCCCCCGGTTTTTGCCACTTTTAGTTGATTTTGCCCATATTTTAGTAAATTCCTGACTTTTCAGCTGTTTTAACTGTTTTTATTGATTTTTTAATAAATTTATAGAAAATTACAATATTTTCTTGTTAATTGGGTAAATTTCAGAAATAAGAGACCCACGTATAATTTTTGTAACGTACCCATAAAAGTGGTGAGAGAATACACTGTATTTCAAAAACCACTATACCCAGAAAAGTTACACTAATAACAAAGTTTTGTGATACGCTTTTCAATCGTCAACTCCCTTTGTTTATGTGGCAATATACATGTAACCTTATCGTCTGCAATGAGGTTTTTTATTTTTCAATTACCGGTAGTTCGAAATGAAAGAGCATATTCTCCGTCAGAACAATTTCTAAAACGAAGTAAGATATAGGCAGAATAGTTAATGACACAAGAATTTCAACAGTCTCCTTTAATGTCATTATTTTGCAAGTTCTATTGCCGATACAATGGCCTTGTTAGCAATTCAATCTATCAATAAAAAAATACTGACTGACTTTTTAGCTCACCTGAGCCGAAGGCTCAAGTGAGCTTTTCTGATCAAAATTTGTCCGTTGTCTGTCGTCGTCGTTGTCGTAGTCGTTGTCGTTGTAAACTTTTCACATGTCATCTTCTTCTCAAGAACCACTGGGCCAATTTCAACCAAACTTGCTACAAAGTATCTTTTGGGTAAAGGGGATTCAAGTTTGTTCAAATGAAGGTCCATGGGGAGATAATTATGAATTCGAGAAAAATTAATGGCATTTTTAAAAAATCTTCTTCTCAAGAACCACTAGGCCAGGAGAGATGAAACTCATGTGAAATCATCCTCAGGTAGTGTAGATTCAAGTTTGTTCATATCATGACCCCCGGGGGTAGGGTGGGGCCAAAATGGCCGATCAAAGTTTTATATAGGAGTATATAGGAAAAATCTTTAAAAATCTTCTTCTCAAGAACCATTTAGACAGGAAAGATGAAACTCATGTGGAATCATCCTCAGATTGTGCAGATTCAAATTTGTTCAAATCATGACCCCCGGGGGTAGGGTGGGGCCAAAATGGCCGATCAAAGTTTTACATAGGAGTATATAGGAAAAATCTTTAAAAATCTTCTCAAGAATCACAGGGCCAGGAAAGATGAAACACATGTGGAATCATCCTCAGATAGTGTAGATTCAAGTTTGTTCAAATCAAGACCCCCGGGGGTAGGGTGGGGCCAAAATGGCCGATCAAAGTTTTACATAGGAAATATAGGAAAAATCTTTAAAAATCTTCTCAAGAACCACTGGGCCAGGAAAGATGAAACTCAGGTGGAATCATCTTCAGATAGCGTAGATTCACGTTTGTTCAAATCATGACCCCCGGGGGTAGGGTGGGACCAAAATGGCCGAACAAAGTTTTACGTAGGAGTATATAGGAAAACTCTTTAAAAATCTTCTTCTCAAGAACCATTTAGACAGGAAAAATGAAACTCATGTGAAATTATCCTCAGATTGTGTAGATTCAAATTTGTTCAAATCATGACCCCCGGGGATAGGGTGGGGCCAAAATGGCAGACCAAAAATTAATTCTCATAGGAATATATAAGGAAACCTTTTAAAATCTTCTTTTCAAGTACTTCAAAGCCATGGTTAGTAATATTTATGTAGAATTTTCCTCAGATAGTGTAGATTCAAGTTTGTCCAAATCATGATATGTGCTTTTTCCTAGCTGATGTGCTCAGGTGAGCGCTGTGGCCCCTGGGCCTCTTGTTTCATCTTATTATTTCGCCATTATTTAGGTACTGAATTGTATACGGATTTTTTTGTCTTCCCTATACATGGCACCTGAGTTTAAGAGGTTTGGATTCCCTGATCCTGATTTGAATTGTTTGAACGGACTTTGTGCTTGAATAATTTTTGTTATATCCATATGTATGCATTTCATTAGAACTGGTGAACAGGACAGAGAATACAAGGAAAGGGATGCTCAAGTAAAGGGGAAATGAAAGAAGAACAGATGTTTGGTTTGTCAAATCAATCATATTTATCTACTTTACTGGTCTCCGTAAAGTCCATCTGTAGAACGTGGGCGATAAGGATCGAAATATCTAAGCTGCTCTTGAGCAACTAAGGACTGTCTTTTTGGTGTGTTAAAAATATCCCTTTTAGAAGAACAAACACACTTATGCACTGATGAACTCCATGTAAGGAAGAATGAGGCTGTTACTAATGCAAAAGGAAGACATGCGAGATAATTTTTTCAATTTTCAATTTTCATGGGGGAGAGGGGCTAACGTCATATAAATTTCACGAACTCATAAATAAAATAAGATTCTGGTACAATGTTTATTAAAGACGACTTTGAATGTGAGATAAGAATACTGAAAAATACGTATAGAAATAAGATTATTTAACTTTAAGGGATTTTTAAACACTAACAAAGAGTGCTTTTTGTACTTGGAGAAAAAATTGTCATATAAAGCTGTGCATAATGCGACAATTTAATTCATAGCTGAATCTGATTCATTTTTCGATATTTGTTGAGTATACACAAAAATACCAAGAATAATTCTTAAAAAATGATGACATCAGATTTCCATTGGCAGCTTTTCCTATTTATATATTAGCATTCAACAAACACTCACATATTGTTAATTTTATGAACTGATGGGATACGTTACTACATTCATATGCTCTGTATGTATATGATTAATTTTTAATCCGAGGCAAGCTAATGTCAAATAATAAGTCAATGAAATAAGCAATTAAAACCCCTTTTGTGTGTGCTTTTTTTGTAAATTCAAAGGCTTTTAGAGCGATCTTTGAATATATTTGTCTGACATATTTCATATCAATTTTAGGTAGTATACATATAAATTTACTTACAGATACTTTTCGTCTATCTGAATAATACATAGGACTCACGGCGGCAGTGACGGATAATGGCGAGGGAGGGGGATGGGGTTACTTCTCCTCAGCACCTTATCCCACCTAAAGGGTTACGTCTACTTGGGTTAGTTTACAGTTAAATCGGCCCTGTTTTTGTTTAAAAACATATCTTAAAATAAGATCTACGAAATGGGAAAACATCGTCGCACTTAAAGACGGTAAGGAAGGAAAATGAAACAAACAAAAATCTATAGGCTATTGCAGCTTCTAACTTTATAACATGCAAAATTAAAGGTAAGAAGCACTCATATTTTCTAACTAATTATTTCTGTGTATGTTGACAAGGACTTTGAAGACATGGAACACATAATGCAATACTTGAAATGTATTCAAGGTCGATGTATTATTGACTTTTCGTCAATTCAAATATTGCATTTCAGAAAACATAATAAAACATAGTGCATAACTATCTAAAAAGTATGTAACCCTTATACTGCTTAAATGTGTAAAATCTAGGTCGATTTTTGTTGTGAGGTTATTTTTTAACAAAGAACAAACATTGCATAGATCATTGAACAGATATCCTCAGCAAATAATTAGTGGATTTAAATTGACATGCAGTTCAGACATGAAGGTTTTGGCAGACGGATTGTCGTTAGGTAAATGAAATACCCGTTTGGATAAATACAAAGTTTCGTTTATTTACTCAAGAAAAACATAGAAGATTAATCAGATGTTGAACAGAAGTTTAAGTCAGTGTCCATATGAACACTGGGAGAAATCGGCAATGTCGGCTTGTAGTCCTTCGGAGAATTTCCATTGTTTACAGGACGAATTTGGTCGAATTGGATGGTTGTGTACTGAACCAATATGGGTTGAAAGAGGTAAATGATTTTCAGTTATTTGTAAATATTTGTTAGTAAATGAAGAAAAGAACACAATAAATATTGTTGAATCTATATATTGTATTCTTCAGTAAGGTATGTGATTCGTTTAAACGATAAATACTTCTTTTCCATGTACATACCTTGATTATGTTGATAGGTAGATGTCCTGTCTACAATTCTGGAGCCAAAAAGCTGGATACTATTTCCTGCAATACAACAAACTGCCCATTAGAGAATTACAGATCCAATTATCTCTATATAAGTATGTAGTGGACGCAAACATAGTCGTCAGCATAATTTCATAATTCATGTCTTTTTCATAATGTTGTACAACTATCAAGGTCATTAAAATACAATACAATTCACCGTTCGCTGTTTTATATATGGTTAATTGTGTGTAAACTTTAAAAAACAATTTTTGTGCTGGACAGTTCTGTGTAACAACTTATGTAGCACATATTAAACTGTTGGTACCAAAATAACGGCCGAAATGTAAATAATCGAAGACCATGTTAAATTCGTCATGGAGTAGAATTAATGAGGAACATAGTTACCTAAGAAAATGTTTTTCAATTTGAGTTCAAAAAAGCTCCATTTATGCCATTATTGAAATTGTTAAGCATTTATTTTTGCTTTTGTTAGAAAATGGTTGTCGCTTCAACATAGAGGAAACGTAAGTTTTCTTTCTCTTTTTAAACATGATTATATAGTAATCAAAATTTCTAAGTCCCCAGGCAAGTTCTTGCTTTACACCACTCTTATATCGAATTATTTGAACAGTATAATTTAACAATTATACAGGATTAAAAAAGTGACAAAACAATTCTTTTCACTTTTAAATTATTTATTTTATTGAGGTGCGTTAACACAATATGCAGAAACGTTAAGGCACCTTAGAATTAAAAATTAACAACGTTAAATACTGCATTGTCCTCAATTCAAAGGAATTCACAGCAAGACAACCGCTCTTCAAAGAGTTCACACTATTTAAGAAAAATTATTTTATTGAATGTTTTTCCATGTGTTGACTAGGTCGTCCTATACTTCCGCTAGATTCTGCTGCTGGAAAAGCTGTCTCACACTCCGGTCTATCTTCTTTCATACATGCTAGTTAGTGTTGAGATTATTAGGATGACAAGGGGGCTAACTGAAAGTGCCCATGCCTTGCCAACAATAGTTACATGACGTCTCATTACATGTATTCCCAACTCCGCCAGTGTGACATTGAGGGGTGGGCACATCCGGTTCCACTGATTTTTCCGGATAAACTCTTGGATGATAATGTGGTTATTGTTAAAAATCTAGCTATTTTGAATGATTAAAAGTAATTCAGGTTTGCTTGTAGGTCTTTCGGGTGGTATTTATAAAAGTTTAAAGTAAAAAAAATATGTAGTGAAAGGAAACAGAATACTCGTTAACTACTACCAGCTTTGGTCATTTTAACTTCATCTGCACATTGTTGTGTGGACAAGCACCGCATTATAATCAAGCCTTTTTCTGTTTTTCCTTATCAAAACACATGGAAATAAAAAAAATATGAAGAGTACATCCGAAAAACATATGAAACTCGAACTTCATATCTTTTAACAAAAACGGTCAAGGTCGAGTAATTACACATTCGATTACAATTTTTTGGCCTTGAAAGGTAAGTATTGCAAATTAAAGGCAAATTTGTGAGCAACTAGTAAATTGAGGTTAAGGTTTTTAACTTTTTGGAAAAAAAAAGTGGGGACTTAGAAATTTTGACAAGTATAAATTCTGCTTTTTGTTCGGAGGTCATCCTCTCAGATGCTGTCTCTGCACAAGAAAAGTTAAAAAGGATAAGGAGTTATGCTTTTTTGGATGATACCTTAGATGCAAGATCTCTGATAAAATCAAAATTAGTTGTTTCAAAAGCACATTTTTCTATATTTCTAAATAAAAAAATCATTTTGATGAATTTTGCTTTTTCATATCATTTCGACTTCAGGACAGCGGGTCATGATCCTTCAAGTGTCATTTAAAGAAAGTAAAACAAGAAACACGATGAATGATATTTTTCAAACACAGATTAGAATCGCTTTTGATTTTTAATGTATGTATTTTTTTAATGTAATTTTTTTTCTCTTAATAGCGAAAAAACGAGAATAATAAACAGCACAGTTAGCACTGATACTAGCGACAGCCAAACAGTGCAATTTGAGTACTTTGCAATAATTCCTGTTGCACTTATTCTTTTTCTCACTGCAATATTGCTGATTTTATACATAAGAAGGCGGCGTACATGTAAGTATATATTTTGAAGTTTGGATGTAAATGTAAAAAAAAAAGAAATAAAATGCATATTCTCCACATATAATATTAAATTCTAAGAAAAGTTTTACTCATATACATCTTTTGTATACTGTAGATTCCTAATTATACGCGAGGTATCAATTTCCGCGTAATTTCGCGAGAAGAACCACTCGCGAAATAATATAACTCGCTTTAATTTTTATTCTGTTGAAATCCATGTAAATTCTGGCGATTTAACATTAAAAAGAAAGCTCGCGATAATAAGTACTCGTGAAAAATAAGGAATCTACATTATCAATTCTTTTTCTAAAAAAGAATATTTATACAGGTTATCATTCTTCTTGATAAGTACAAGCCATTCATTAAAAAAGAATCAATTTTTATTATATCCTAACAGACACATTTAACAAATTTATTCAAAACGACAAGTTAAACAAGATTGACCAAACTTTTCATTTCTGATTTCCTTTTGAATTATATAAAATTTACTTTTTTTAATCATAGGCTGTTCTAAAAAAATACCAACATTGGATCACAATGAGGGACAAAATATTGATGTTTCCGTTGAAAAAGACACTTTGATTGCAGATAATTTTTCTCGAAAAATACAAACATCAGAACATGATAGAGTGAAGAAAAATAATGAAATCCTTTCAGAGACCTTTTCAATCTTAGGTAACACTTCTCGACAATTGCAAACATCAGAACATGATGGAGGGGAAGATATCAATGTCCATTATGAAAGACACTATAATCAAAGGTAACTTTTGGAAAAATACCAATATCAGAACAAAATGGAGGGACAGATATATTTCCCTTAAAAAGGACACTTCTGACAAAGGTTACATTTCTCGAAAAATGCCAACATCAGAGCAAGACGAAGGGGAGGATACCATTGTTTCCCTTTTAGAGAGCACATTAATCAAAGATAACTTTTTCTCGAAAATTGCAAACATCAGAACATAATGAAGGGGAAGATACTAATGTTTACCTTCTAAAGGACATTTCAAATGATACATATTCTTAAGCAAAAGATTGTCTTACTTCGAAAAGTTTTCTTGTTCAGAGAGGAGTACAAGGATCTGGCAAAACATATTTAGAAAATGAATTAGCTGACATTATAAAGCAAATATCGGATTCCCATTGCCAAGTTTAACTGGATCCAAGATGTAATGGAAAATAAAATACCTAGTTTATCAAGCAAAACATTGTTAGTTTTAGGCAATATTTTTTTACGAGCTGCAACAGAAATAAAATTCAGGCTGTACAATATAGTAAAAGAAGTGAAAGAGCTCTTTGATTATGTGTCTTCAGAAGGCCATTATGTTATTGTTAAAATACGAACACTTGTATGGAAGGGAAATTTAGATCATTTTAAAAATTAAAATGTGTTTTAATGACAATATTGATCTAGATTGCTTAAGTAAAGAGGAAAAAATAGAAATTTTAAATTATCAAATAAACCAGACTGATGTTAGAGAAGAAGGGGATCCGACAGAGGGTAAACTTATAATGAGACAAAGTATTAAATCGGCTATCATAAATTTCGAAACATATATGACTTCATCGGATACCCCTCTTGCGTAGCTTTGATCAGTAGGATGTAGAAACTAAAGGATTTGGTCAACGCATGCAGATTTATTAAACAGAAATAAAAAAAAAGAGATATGTCGTTTACGTGACTCTGAAAATATCAGAGAAAGAAAAATGTTTTTATTACTTGCTTTTATGGCTCTCTGTGATGGAAAACTGAACGCTAGAGAACTTGATGAAGATAAAATAAGTTATAGAGTTTGCCAGAATTTTATATCCATTTGATAACTGTAGCTAGTTTAATGTTCGGGAAAACGACCTTGGTCTCTTTACTCAACAGGAAAAGTATGTTTAACAGATATCTGTTGGTTGTTATGAATTTACTTGGATGTTAACTTGGATGTTGTGAGAAAAATAGTGTTTGTAGTAGCCTTAGAAAAAAAACATAGACCATTTAAAGAAAATTGTGAGCCAGAAAATGTGGAAACGATTTGTTGTTTAACAAGCAAATTTGTCATCTGATTTTACAGTTGGCGAGTTTAAGTATATGTTTATTGAATTGTAGCAAAGTTAATAAGTAAATGGATTTGCATGTATGATTTATAACCTCTTCAGAATTTTTTTTACAAAATATATTACAGATTATTTCAAGGATTACATCTAAAATGACATTTAATGACAAAAGTTAAATTTGATATGAATGATATATTGTAATAAAGTTCGTTCTGGATCAGACTAATAAAATTGAATAAATATTAATTGGACCTGATCCTTATATTCATGTTTTCATTTAAATACAAAGTTGATGCTCACAAAATTTACATCATAGATTCAGTGTTTGTGATCGTCTTTGACCGATCACACTTGATTCTATATGAGGCAGGCAGATTTAACTATCTGCACACATATCATGTCCCTCCTTGTTTACTATGCACTGACAGCTTCATGTAAATCTTTCAAAATGTATGTATATTAAATAATATCAAAGTTGATATTCATTCATAAATCTGGAAACCTGGAGATGCAAACATAGATAAAGTAATATAAATTATATAACATTGTTCTTTACATCGTAAAGAATTCATTCGGATTCCACTTTCATAAAAGGCGCAATTTATTTGTTTTTTAGTTCTTGGGAAAGGAGTAAAATATGCATATGCATATAAAAGCGCGACTAACATGTATCCTCATCTAAGCCTGTCAGTTTATAGAATGGTGTTCACCAGGGATGGGATAATTGCGTAAAGTAATTATAATTGAGCGTAATTAATTACATTTTTCAAAGTGGTTAGAAGTAACTTGTAATTTTAGCGATTCTTCAATTATAAGTATTTGAATGTATCTAAATACATTTCAAAAAAGGTCATGTATTTTCAATTACTTTTCAATTACATTTCAATTACCTTTTTCAAAATGAAAGTTTATAAAAAGGTGTCTTAAACTGATACACAGTTTTTATACTTGTGGGATTATACTACCTATTCCAACTTCTTAAAAATCTCAATTCCACTTGTTCCCCCTTGCAAATAACAATAGATTGTTTAGATAGTTAATTTTGATGTTACTCTACATGTGCCTGTTTTTGACATGATAACTGCCTTAGCAATTTTTCCAGAGTTTGTCAATCATATTTATCCACTTGACTGGTCTCCCTAAAGTACATCTGCAGGACGTGGACGATATGGATCGAAATCCCAAGCTGCTTTCGATCAACTAAGGACTGTTTTGGAAAGGGTTAAATAATATATCCCTATTGGAAGAATAAACACATTGATGAACTCAATGCAAGGACGAATCAAGACCGTGACAGATGATACACGAGGGAGACGTCAGATATTTAAGTTTTGGGGGGCTACCGTCATATTTATTTTAATTATTTATGAATTATTGGTCAAAACAAGCAAATTCAAAGAATTGTGGTCCCCCGATTTTGCTGTCTTAGAGGTTGAAATGCCATTATTTATGGCATCGTGTGTCAAGTATGAACACCCTTTCATATGTCATTCAAACATTATCACCAAAATTAATTTTTCTTTAAAAACTAGGTCAACATGAAGTTTTAGGTCAAGGGGTCAGAATTATAGCACTCGGAAATATCTTGTCGCAGGTAACACACAGATCAAACGTTAAAACTCATTCTCCTCTCTATCAAAAATCATATAAAAACACTTTTGAAAAGTACGTCAAACGTAACGGTCAAATCACGGATTAAAAGAAATATTAGTGTATTTAGAAAGTCTTGTCACAGGTAATACATTGTGATAGGTGGAAGCCCTAAATCTTCTCATCCTAAAATTTTGACCATGTAAAAATTTGTGGAAAAAAAAGTAAAACAAGATCCCGCATTAGCAATCATAGTGTATTTAGAAAGGTCTTGTCAGGTAATACATAGGTCAAGTATGAAAGACCTATCTTGATTCTTTAAAAAGTTTTGGCCAATTGAAAGTAACGTTTAAATTGTTGAAAAGTAGTTCAAACTTTAAGGTCACAAGTCGAAAATCATAGTGTATTGAGAAAGGTCTTCTCATAAGTTTTAAACATATGTTGTATAAAAGGTCTATCTCTTCTCATTGATGATGATGTTTTTTATTTATTATGATCATCAAGAGATATGACCAAGGTTAAAATGTTTCTGACAGACTAACAGACAGACTGACAGATGAAAATTCATGTTCCCTCGCTTTTGCGATAAGTGTGGACATATAAGTGAGATTCTGGTTAACTTTTAATTAAGGACTGTAAATATGTGTGATAAGAATTTTTGAAAATACGTGGGTTTTAACTACACTAACTTTCAACAATCTTATAAAGGAAAGAGAGATAAAAGAAACATAATTTAAACAATTCTAGTATATACCGTGCAACCTCATATGTTTTGAATCATAAGAACGAGGAGTTTCCTATACCCAAAATGCAAACACGTGAAATGTACTCAAATATACTATGTCATTATTTCTGTGTACGCTGATGATGATTTTGAAGATACGGAGTTTTCCCTCTCAAAGTATTCGTATCTGGAAGACTCATTGTGTGGAGTAGGGACACTGCTATTGAACTCTGCAGACAACTCCAGTTCATGCACCCTGTTGTTGCTTTGAAGATGCGTGTAATATGCTTGGTCATTTTCCCTTGTATTTGGGCTATTGATTTCATAATAATCCAGAATATCATCTGTGACATCGGCAATGTCTTTCTTACGTCTAACATTGTGATATATATGTAATTGTTTCTGAATAAGTATTGCTAATAAAAGTATAATTAATACTGTTCCGATACTAACGATAATCACAATGAGCGTTTTCATTGATGGCTCATGGTCATCACTTTTTATTTTAATTTCATTCCTAAAAGTTGTATTCACATTAAATGTTGAATTCTGCATTACGTTTCTTGCATTTGTTGATTTGCTTAAGTGTTGAGTGAGCTCTGGTCCTGATGTTGACAATTTTGCAACCGTATCTGAAATTTTAATATTTTTTGTTTACATAAAAACTAAGTTACAGATATTTTACATTAGGATCAACAAACTAAGAGAAAGACTTACCGAAGCATCCAAAAGCAAAATGACAAAGGTTCCGAGAACAGTTGCATGTCTGCAAACAGAGCTCACCATATTTCGGAAACTGACATCGTCTATCACATCGTAGTCCAGTTGATCCCAAAGGGCATTCTGAGCAACAATTTAAAGTGCGAAATAAGTATAAAGGTTATATATATTACATATAAGTTGCGATTACGGAGATTATAATATACTTACGCATAAAACATTTTTTAATCTGGGAAAAATAAATTGATTGCATCAGTCATCTTCTAATAGCTATTTTCACTTTCATTATTTGAAGTTCTCAAAAAAATACTAAGGAACACACTTTTTGAAAAATATTTTTTATAATAGATTGGTGTAAATATACATATCCCCAAAGCTTACTTATGCATTCTCCACTAAGTTTGTAATGATAAGCACAGCACACAGACTTGCCCTCAGCACTGAAATCACAAATAACACAAAATGCGTATTTGAAATAATATTTATAATTTGCCATACTCATGTTCTTATTGTTTTCTCTTACACCGTCTTTGTATAAGCTAATAGAATGGTTTTTTTTAAATTTTTTTTTACAGAAGCAAAATATCCATTTTACTTTTCCATTGTTATAATGAACGTTCTCCTCTGTTACTAGTATGATGGATTTTTTTATGTGTAAAAATGTGCGTTTATAAAATGAAATCAAGTAACAAAAGTCTTACTTGTAGCCACAGATATTGTCGCCAGAAGAAAACGATATCGGGATAGAAAGCAAAAAATGAATAAATACAATACGTAAAGAGCAAATTTTATTATCCATTTTGATCTCGATCATTCAGAGTGCTCCTTATACCAGCATGGTTTAATTTTAAACCCACCAGGAAAACACATTTTTTACGCGGAAAATCTAGCTAATAAGCACTTATCAAAAACCTATGATTATGTCGTACTCAAGGACAGCTTTTATCTGTTATGTTAATACAATATGATCAGGAAATCAAATGAAGAGAATAAAGCTTAAAATTTATTATGTGGTTTGACATGCATCCCTTATACATGATTGATACTAAATACTACAATATTAAATGTTTGTGGAAGTCATGACTCATGTAGAATTTGATATTTAAGTCATGCGAAAATGATGGCTAAGGACTGATTTTATCTTAAAATTTATGATTTTTTTTCTCAAAAGTCTGATAAATTTGATAACCATACGATTTTAAGTCATCATTTCGTAAGTTCTATGTTCGATACAATGACCTTGTCAGCAAATACAATTTATCATTGAGTCAAATTCTGACTGACGTTTTTCATAATAATTGTTAGTTCATTATTTATACACTGAATTGACGACGGAGTTTTCCGTTATTTCCCGATCATGACAATAAGAACACGGCGTCCGTGACAGGTCGGCATAGGATGCTCACTCATCCATGGCACCTGATCTCACCTCTGAAGTTTGATGGTCCATGCTTGCTTTGCTCCTATTTTGTATTGTTTTTTTACTTTTGATCTTGAATACTGTTGGTAATCTCCATGTTTCATGAAGCATACATTGGACTATCAACCACAGATAACAATTGCAAAATGTTTCGTGACCTTGTGTATCTGCATTTTTGTACCGAGTGAATATTTTTGTTAATGATAAAGTATTCCAGGACGTAAAGTCTCAAACCGTCATTTGTTATGCTTGATATGCCAATTGAGTATTTCTATTGATCTAATGTCCTACTCATTTCCCTCCAAAACTCTAATTACATCTATATTTAGCCCATTAAACATGTTAATATAAAATTTGAAAAATTTGAAAAATTGCTAATAATTTTTTCAACCAAAAAATCGATTTATAATTTAATTTAAAACTCCGAAAACAAAAAATATCACAAAGTAAATCCTAAAATAAAAAAAAAATATTATGCGCCCGGTAAACAAATGTCGTAACATTAGATTAAAAAAAAATAATTTAAAACATTTTAAACGTCTTATTTCATACCAGTTACAATTGTCAAGTCTTTATTTTTGATACTGAATTTGAATACAGAACGCTGTTCCCTCTTCCTGATGTGACTGACTAATGGGGGATGCTTAGTTCTTTTCGGCTCCTGATTCCAGCTCTGAATTCCCAGGATTTCGTGTTTCATGCACTTTTTAATTTTTATATCCTAAGATTTCTTTTCAGTCTTTCTACCTGTCTGTCTATCCGTCTGTCCGTCTAGCTGTCCCTCTGTCTATCAGTCTGTCTCACTTGGTGTTTTGCAAATGTTTTCTGAAAGCTTGCAGATACTTAGCTGAGTTTTGAAATGTGACTTTATCTTGATGAGTTAAACCCCAGTCATGTTTCCAAAAACGACCAACGGCCGACGGTTTTTGAATCAAAAATGGGATTCTTCGGACGACAGTCGGCAGTTCATCAACCGTTGTCTTGTCCGATTTTGGTCTCTTTTTTGTTGGCCGACCAATTTTGTGTCCATCGGTCCAAGTTATAATTTTTTCGGTGTCGGTGGCCGATTTCTTCAGTTGAAGCTATCCGTCGACCAACTTTCGATCATCGTCCGACCATCAGCGGTCAGTTTATAAAGTCGGTCGTCCCTAGTTCGACAATAATGATGTCCAAAATTTCCTCCGACGGTTAAAATCAAACTGTAGCTCAGAGATCGATGATCGGGCGACGATTGGCCGACTTATGAATATTTAACCTATTATGGAAACAAGCTTTTGATGCATGAAACAGCAATTATGATTATAATTGAATTTTGCTATTAAATGCATTGCTTATGTATTAAATACGTTGTATTTACATGTATGTGATGGTTTATGTAATAGATATAGCAGGCTGGGATTTTACGCCGGAGGTATGCGAAATTCCAGCCAATGATTAGCGGGCTAAGATCACGTGGACAGCTGAGCGGATCACTTGTATTTTTATACCTGCGCTGTCCACAGTATTTTTTGGAATCACGTATATTTTTGAAGACCCGCCACCGCCCCTGCAATCCTACCTCTCGCATTTTTATAAATTGTTGTAATTATCAATATGGCCCAATTGGTTTTAATGTGTCACCCCTTTTTGTTTTGATGTGCCATCTTTTTGCTACATTTTTCTTAAAATGTTTGATTTTATTGCTTTATAGGAATTTTTTCCTAGTCATTTTTGCATATTTTACGTAATTTCAATCGGAGCTTGTGAGTCTGATCCCCATTCTTTTGTATAAAGTATTTTCTTTTACATCGTCATTTAAATAAATGACATTATTCATCTCTGTGAATGTATTTGAGTTAATCTTTAGCAAACTAAGCATAAACTAGCTGCAGTGAGCCTGCCGAGCATTTGAAGACATAAATTGATATATATTTTTTGAACGGAAATAACATAATTAATCTGTACGATATAAAGAAATCTTAAGTAGTCTTTGCTGCTTAGATATGCGCCATTTGTCGTTTTTATGCAATTCTATACAAAATTTTGCACACATTTTCAACATTTAGTCACAAAATTCTGCCACTTTGCCTCGTAAACATTACTTTCGTCACCTATCTGATTATAGATCTATGAAGAATATTGCTGATTTCTAAAGAAAAAAAAAAGATTTTTTATGTTATTTATTCAAGTCATCGGAGTTCCTAGAAATTAATGTGACTGCTCCGTGTCTCCAGATACTCGTGTCGGCCGATCATGTTTCTCAGCCGACAAGACCAGAAAAATTTGGTCGCCAGGGGCCTGTTTCATCAAAGGTCGTAAAGTTAAGCCTTAACTTAGGCGTACTTCCGGGGCTTACGCCAAAATTTAGTCGGGCGTAACTTGCGTTTCACCAAGTGGCGTAAGTCTAGTCGTAAACGATACGCTTAGTCACAGGACTAAGTCCTTGACAACGTTGCATTGCGCAGGCGCAAAAACATAAACATTGCCCAATGCGTACAATCATGTATAAATTGTAGCACGTCAAAGTACAGAATAACACAAATTATAGATTAATAAATGCTTGAACTGACTGAAACATGCATGGGTTTACAGTGTCATGTAGGAGACATGTTTCTTATAAGAAATCAATTTTAGTTTTTACAACATTTCAGTAATAAAAGTCATATAAATTGAAAGGAAGAAATGGACCGTACATGTACATGTGTTTCGAAATTAAGCTAAACTATTTATTTTGGAAGCCACCCCACCCCCTCTTCCTTCTTCCTGAAATTGATACAGGTTAATGACTTCGCCTTTGATAATAAATTTCATGATTCGATAAATACTGACTAATACATGTATTTAAAAATTTTCATAAGAAATGTATATGCAAGTAAAAATAATGAATACAACATGCAAACGGTTTACACGTGTACACATTTTGAGTCAAGAAATAAATTTACACGTTTACTGCTAAGGTACATGTAAGATTATCCTCTCTAAATTCATTAATTTTTTTGTCAATTCAAATGATTCATTATAATATTGTTATTGTTTCTTAAAATGACACAAAGGTTCATAATATCATTACAAAATACTAGACTCTAGGTCGTGTAGTTATAGAAAAAATTCTTTACTATCTGCTGATTAAATGTAATGTACCGTTCTAAAAGTACGCAGAGAGAGAGAGAGAGAGAGAGAGAGAGAGAGAGAGAGAGAGAGAGAGAGAGAGAGAGAGAGAGAGAGAGAGATTCGGAAAAATGACTACAAAGATATTCTTACAAAAAATTCTCTGCGTGTGTGGTCTCTGTCTTTAGAATTAAGTTACGGCTTCTCTTTATTTTGTTTTCCTTAAAAACGTACGTTGTGCAGGAATTCAAAAACATGTATATTTTCATCTTATATGTGCTTTACATGCGCTCAGATTATCTTATTCTGTGTAAGATTTACTCTTTTAGACAAAATCATGAAAATTAAAGATGTCTTCTGCATCAGCTCAATGTTTTCTGAGAAAAAAAAATTACGAATAATTCATTCTTGAACTTAATTGTGTAATTACATGTATCACCGTCTTACATCGATATTATAAAAGCAATCATATATTTCCCCATTTTAAAAATCTCTTATTGTTTATGAGACCCCTCCCCCTCCCTGGGTTCCGTCTTAGATTCGCCGGGAACTTCACTTGTCCCAGATACCTAGAAAAATAATTACTTTCGTCCTTAACTGAGTACTCTGTACATTCATTGTTAATTAATCTGCAAATTCGGGAGGTTCTGAACCCTCTCTCCGACCCCTCTAGATCCACACATGTGGACGAGAAGTAAATAAGAAATGGACTCTTCAAACATATTATTCTTTTTTTTTTAAAATTTTTTCTTAAATTTAGAAAATTACCAGAAAGAGGATTACTATGCTTTTGAAACCGATTTGGTTTTTTTTTTTTTTTTTTTTTTTTTTTTTAATTTTTGTTTTTCAGAAAATATGTTTTTGGGAAAACATTTTCTTTCAAAATAGACAATTTTAATGGGTGTCTTTGTAGTGAATGAAACAGAAAATATAACTAGAGGTACCGTAAGCAATGAGTTCAATAAAAGATATCCACCTCCCGCCTCCCATATGAATATAGTGGCAGTGTCCATGTTTTGCTGTGGGAAACCCAAAATATGTGTCGGATCAAAAAGTACAATAAGGCACAATGGCAATATGTAATAAAGATTCTGTGAAAGTTTCATCAAATTTCAATCAGTGGTACAGTGTATGAGAGTAGTTGTGGATAGAGATGGGTACCCCAAAGCGTAACAGACGGTCGGACGGACATCCCGATTACTATATAGTATATACATGTACCCTCCCGCTTTTCAAGCGGGATGTAGAAATATAGTTATATATGTATATTGATTTACAATACCCTATACATACAATACCACAATAAAATATATATAATTATATGAATGCATTGTCAAAACGTAAGAAATGGTGATCGAAGAAATCTATAATAAGACAAGCTTTTCTTCTCAGCAGAAATTTATAAAAATATTAAGTACGTTATTACTCAAATCAACTATGTCCCCAAGTAGTTGTAACAACAACATCCCCCACCCCACTCTTTATAATATGTATAATTAAAAAATGCATTGTTTGTATTTTAATTCTTCTTAGAACCGTACTTTTTCTTCAGAACTCGCTAAATTGTTTAAAATTAATAAAAAGGTTTTATGTTAACTTTACGCCCTAACTTACGCCTTCCCATGAGTAGACGTAAAATTTTGGCCTAAATTTAGTCAGGCGTAACGATACGCTCTTTAATGAAATGCAAATCTTCGTGCTAGTCTTGACTTTACGCCGGTGTAGCGCTACGACTGGGCGTAAGACCTTTGATGAAACAGGCCCCAGACTATCGCCTTAAATGTGATCTTGGCATTAGAGATCAAGTTTTCATTTCGATCCGCTTCAATAGCTTTTGGTGGAATTATTTCATTTTCATTTTTTATCTAGGACCAGACCACACTCGCCGGTAGGGGACGACTTTCTAATGCAATATTTTCAGCATTGTCTCTTTAATTCTACTATTTATATCATGTAAATTTTGAATTTACTTGAGGAGATGGTTAAATCCAAAATTTACATTATGAAGCACGGTTGAAAATTTATAATTTTCTTTCCTCGAGAAAATTCAAATTTTACAATACGATTATAGGAATATTGCTTTTAAATGATTTATAGATGCTTGTTATTTGAATTTCAAATTCATCGTTGGATCGGACACAAACTTTTGAACAGCAGCCCGTATTTAGGAAAAAAAATTAAGAGACCCAAAATATGTTCATATACAACAACATCGATGTTACATTGTAAATCTTTCACAATCTTAAACTATATTTTGCTTTATTTAACACAGGAAATCATATCCCTCTGCATGACCACAGAAATATGAGAATTTCCTGATCGGGAAGATATGAATAAACCACAAACTTTAAAACTTTAAAATGTTTAAAACATTTTTATCAGAATTTGTGTACACCGTGATAATCAGAATACCTCTTTGAACTGATGGAAATGAATTCGGATAAGGCGGTAAGGATTTAAAATCTTCATTACCATATAAGAATGAATATAATCAAAACATACAAAATGCAGCTAGAAAGCTACTCAAAGCTGGAATAAAAATGTTTAATTGTGTGTAGTATAAAGAAATAACTGTGAGAAGTAAAACTTATCAACTTATATTTCTTTATTTTTGCAGATAAACCTCATTGCTTTATCGTTATCATTTTTTTTGTCTGTGTCTCCCATCAAAGAAAGTTGCCAGCCAGTTATTATACAAGGAAGACCAGTATGACAGATGTAGATATCTTGACGAGCAAGATATTAACAAGTTGCTTTCATTCGTGAAATCGTTTGAGAAGTCCAAAATACCGCTAAACAATTTTGCTGTGGACATTGTAAAAAGACTTGAAATTCTTGAGTCAAAAGGTAAAATTAGTAAAATGCATGCAGATCATTAAAATTTGACGCTGCACATATTCTGCACGGTATGTACAGTTTAAAGGGAAAAAAACCTTTCTAAATATTTTCAGTCAATTGTTTTTCGGTATCTTACAGTTTGTGGAAAAATATGACGTATTTCCAACAATCTTGCTACTTTCTTTCACTCCAAAAACAAACATGGACACAAGCACAGGTATTTTTTCAATATATATTTCAATATTCTATTTGGCATCCTGATGTTCATATTTTTGTCAGTAAGATATCTGTATTTGATATAGAAAAGTTGTGCATTATCCGGCGGTGTGCTGGGGGAAATTGAAACTCCAGAGGAAAATGATTTTATTGTTCAAACCATCTTTAAACCTTATGTAGGGGATGGTAAGTCAAGCATACAGAATTAAAAAAAAACACATACATGGTGTATAAAAATACGGAGTTGATTTAAAAGTTATTTTGTACTTCAGAGGAAAATCGATACAAAGAATAAAAAAAGTGTTTTACCAAATTATCAAAACAATTAAAAATATTGAACTGAATGAAGGTCTTTTTCCTGAAGGAACATAATTTTGGCTTGGAGCATCAGACATGAATAAAGAAGGAACATTTATTTGGAATTCTACAGGACTGCCTCTGAAGTTCAGTTACTGGAAATCAGGGGAACCAAATCATTTGTCTAATGATTTTTTTATCCAAAATGTGGTTAGGATCTTTTAAAGGAAAATCCTTAAAAGTAAAAGATGGTTATATGCATCAAATCCTTTAGAAATGATATCAAATTTACTACTAGTACATGTAGAAACAAACGCATTTTATTAACTCCATTTCTAAATACTATTCAATAAACAAATAATTTATGTCTAAATAAAATTAAGAAGATGATAATAAACTGAAAAAAAATCTACAAGAAATTAGAAAGTTAATCAATATCGAGTAATGTCTTAACAATATTTAACTTGTATTGCATATGATGAACGTGATGACTTTCACTTTTCTATCATCATTTTCCCATACTTGTGCAAACGATGAAAATTATTTACAAATAAGTTGATGAAACATGAATATCAGGAGTCTCATTTAAAATCATAATTTTGTAGGTTCTATTGTCTCTGCGATGTCCTTGTCAGCAAATACAATTTATCATTGTCTCAAATGCTGATCGACGTTTTTAGACTAAGTGTTAGTCCTTTATTTATACACTGAATTGACGACGGGTTTTCCGTTATTTCCCCATCATGACAAGGAGCACACGGCGGGTGAACGGTCAGCAGGTAAAGCCCAGTCTTCCATGGCACCTGATGTCACCTCTGATGATTCGGAGGTCCGTGTTTGCTCTTATTTTTTTATCGCTTTATAGACTTTTGATCTTGAAAACTTTGCCATCTCCATATCTTCCATATTTACAAACTCTATGGAAATGCACCATGAATAAGAAAGGGGTTGAAAAGGTTTACTGGATTTAAGAAACTTCAACCCTCGCCATAGGGTACCATACGGGGACATCAGTTTTTTCTCAAACAACATGTTGACTAACTATTTATTTTGTATTATTTACATGTGCAATAATATATTTAATTAAAAATAATAAACAATTTGTACCGGATCGTTGTAAGATTCCCTTAGGCTATTATAACTGTGTTTTAAGAAAATCCCGTTTTACCTGAAAACATAAAAGTACTACCTTTGACTACAGAATATTCCGTCTATTTGATCAGATCAGTTCATATGGGTTACGGTGGGTGTGACTGGTCAACAGGAGATATTACTCCTCCTAGAAACTTGATACCTCCTCACGAATTTTTAAAGGTTTCTTTTTAATGCCTTTTTAAACGATTTTAATTGTTTGTTAATTCATGAGATCGACCACTGTTTGTAATCTTTGCACATTTACATACTCACCAGATATCTGAATACGTTTGAAAATTTCAAGTTGTTCATTTTTTGGATTATTTAATGATTAAGGAAATTTGTCTCCGTTTTATCAAAGAAATGTCATAAAACAGTAATTTTTGCATGTTTTTATTTAAAATTGAAGAGTTGCTGAGGGGCAAAGTATTGCAGCTATACTCCCCGTCAATGAAAACGCAACACTATATTTTTAGGGTGAAAAATTATATACGGGATATAACTATGTACCAAACAAGTTAGGATATCCTTCACTTTGCCAAATCAGTTATTCAGTGGTTGAATGTTTTTCATTCAATTACCGAAAGTTGATTTTTTAGCCCTCTTAACAGATAACATTTAAATAGAACACCCCCCCCCTTCCGACCATTTAATCAAAACATGCTAGTCCGCCATGTACAACATACAGTGTACGCAGTCCGATTTCTACCTTGCTTTAGGTTTATCAATGTCTTTATCTGAGCGAAATAAATTTTCTTGAGCATTTTTAATTGTCTGTTGTTCAGATACTAAGGTCGAATTTTCTCTAACTTGGCGCAGTGTAGTAACCCTTAAACTTCCGGTCAATAAACTGTCATTCATGCTTTTGAAACACATAAGCCCAAAATGTCGTTATGTAGCGTATATTTGCATCTGTACCTCTCCTTTTTCTTTATTTTGAGAATTTACAGCATTAGCAATGAAATGCGTGCTTTTGGTAATTTTGAAGAAATACAGGAAATCACATCTGGAAAAGAAAGAAATATTTTTTCCCGGCATTTTAGTACAATACTTATGATAAAGAGGTACAAAACCTTAAAAACCAAAATATTGTCAAAAATTTTATCAAAATTGCTAATATTTGATTTCTGTAAAGAGGGATAAAAATCAACTTCCGGTCTTGAAATGAAAATCATTCACCCGAAAAAAAAAATGCTTTGTCAAAGTTAAAGATGTCCGAACCTTTTTTGGTACATAGTTATATCCTGTACATAATTTTCACCTAAAATTAGAGTGTTGCGTTTTCATTGACGGGGAGTATATAATCAAGCAATTTATGTTGCCAAACAATGGGTTTGATATTCTCAAAATTGCATCCAGATCTAAAAATAGATAGATGATGTAATTGACCTGAAATAAAAAATTAGGACTGATGATTGCTCGAATGCAACTAGGTCATCTAATGTTTACCCTAACAATTATCTAGCTGAACTAATCGATTTGCAATCAAGGGCAAAGAACTTTATTCGGTAATAACCAATATTTGCCCCCCAAATCAAACTTTGATGGGGATATATTTTAATTAAGTTTTTAAATAGGGGAGTATATGCTGACTTCAAAGCACTAAACATATTCATAAGTAATGACGTCATATGTACGTAATGACGTCACAAACATGACGTAAATTTCAGTTTTTTTATGAATTTTACAGAAAAATGTACATATTTCGTCGATATTTTGAGTAAAAGTCACCGAGCGCATGTGTGTTCAGGATCAATATTTTAATATAATGTGTAGAATGATAATATCAATGAAATATGTCAATATTGTTCCTGAACAAACTTGCGCTCTATAAATTTTAAAGCTAAAATTGTTGAAATTTTGTCCATTTTGTCCTCTTTCTGAAAAAGGATATAAAATCGGACTAGTTTGTGACGTCATAAAAACAAAAATTGTGAATACACTGCTTTGAAACTATAATATTTTCTGTTAATTTATATTTCTCATACAATTTATTGAATTCAGCACATTTCAGGAAGTTTTCAAAATTTGACTTTTTTGGGGGCAAATATATGCAATATACCGCATATAGTCCTTTAAATGGATGTTTAAAATGAAACCATTTGGTATTAATTTGAGTAAATATATATTCTTTGAAATAAAGTGACTTAAAACATCGGGCGATAGATAACGGAAAACAATTGCTGGTTCTAAAAGTAAGATGTCCAATGTTTGTTTTATTTATGGTTCAATGTTGATGAAGAAAAATTCAATATTTCAATAGATAATATACCATGCTATGTGTATTTAATAGAGCAAAAGATAATTCAGAGAATGAAATAAATGAATTTTGTCCATTAAAATGATATTAAAAAAAATCCTTAAAAATAAAGTATGGAAATAACAATTGAGAGATATACCATGCTGTTTAAGATATAACTTGCGCCTGTTAAATAATAAAGTTGGAAATTTAATGATATTGTTTACCAAACTAGGTAACGGCAATGCTGGTAATTAGTTTTACACAATTAAATGGACCGCGCTATACATAACCAAATGATGAAAATCTATTTTTCAACAAGGCAAACTAGAGGTACTGTGAGCAATGAGCTCACTAAAAGATACCCCCGCCTTTAATTTGAATAAAATGGCTATGCGCGGGTATGTTAAGGAAGCATATATATCATTTCTCGGGAAAATTAGACTTTTTAAAGAAAATCTAAGTTTAATAATTTACCAAAACCGCTGCATGATAAACGTAAACTATTATTAACTATTGCATAGAGATAAAAGAGTGTCTAACGCAAAGACGTGCATAAACCACCACGGCATCACGTGAGTTCTATTAATAGCCAAATATTCGTTAATAAAAAGGCTAACAGAACAATACCCCGGAGTTAAATAATTCATTTGAGTAAATAATATAGTCGAAAAACATCTGTTTTGCCTAAAAAGTACTGCTACAATCCCACTATCCTGTCAGTAAAATAACCGCAATTTTTTTGTAAAACTATGCTTAACTCGGGATTCTTTTGCTTTGAAATATCCAGCTTTTTGTTATTTTGTTGCATTATTTTTGTCACGAATGACAGAGGAAAGGCTGACCGGGACACGTATATAGCTGACTGTCTTCAAAAGCGAATATAATCGATGAAAATAAATTAGCATGCCTGTTAAATTAACTGAACTCCATGTAAATATAACATAATATTCAGTCATATTTCTTTCTTTATTCTTTAAGCCAAAGGCTCATCAGATTTACATGTACAACATATAAACACAATAAAGAAAACAGAATAAATATTATATATACAAAAATACACAAAGGATATAGCTAGCAATAGTAGTTACAAATTCGACTTTCGTAGAGCAGTAGCTTTATATAAAAATTTCCCCATATTAGACAATTCTTTAACATTTTCGCTACTCATTAAACATACAACTTTAAAAACACTTGGTTTGACATAATAATATTTCTTAATGTACATACTTCTCAAATTTTCATAAAATGGACATTTTAATATGAAATGAAATTCATCTTCAATATCATTACAGGCGCAAAGTGTGCAAATTCTTTGAGATCTAAGTGTATTATTATATCTACCAGTTTCATTTTTTAATTGGTGGTTTGATAATCTAATCTTGGTAAGCATTCTCCTATATCTATCATCAATAGCTTTTGTTAAATATCTTTGTAAGACAAAATCATTCACAACATATTGGTACAATTGTCCTTTTGAAGATGAAGTTACAAATGAAAAAATATTTTGTCTATAAATATCAGTCATCCTTTGTTCAATTATTTTTTATGTACAATTATCAACAATGTTAGATTCCCATAAATAGCTCAAACCTAGTCTCTCCGACTCTTCTTTAATACAAATAATCCACTTATCGTTACGTAAAACCATATTTTCATAACAGGCCCTAATTATACAATTATCAGTCCCTCTTAACTTGAGCCAATATTTAAAAATTTTTAATTTCATTTTTACTGCTAGTGGATATCTTCCTAATTCACAATTTATGAAATTATTAACTGTTTTCTGACCCACTCCTAAGACTCTTTTACAAAAGTTAAGGTGGCTTTTTTCGATATCAGTAGCTTTATGCCATCCGCATACCTCTGATGCATATAAAAGTACACTACTTACGTAAGTATCAAAGACCGATAACTGCGTTTCAACATTGAATGCATGTGCTTTTAATGAATTAGATATAGCAAATGAAGCTTTTCTACCTTGCTCTGCGGCATGTTTTTGAGTTTTCAAAAATTTTCCATTGTAATTAAATAACATTCCAAGATAATTAAACTCGTTAACAATTTCAACTATATCGTTACCATAAATCCATTTCTCATTCTCTCTAAGCTTACCACCATTTCTGAAAATAATTATTTTTGTCTTCTGAATATTAACATTAAGATTCCACACAGTAGTATAATTACATAATGAATTCAACAATTGTTGTAAACCCTCTGGGCTTTCAGACATAATCACCATATCATCTGCATACATAAGGAGAAACAAACTTATTTCTTGTACATCTATACATTGACAATTTTCCTTAATAAATTGCATCTCAAAATCATTAACGTATAATGAAAACAATAAAGGAGAGAGTGATTCGCCTTGCATTAGTCCGGCATAACTAGTAAAATATTCACTAAATAAGCCATTGTATTTCACACAACATTTTATACTTTTATACAATGTTTTAATTATTTTAAACATTTTCTCTTGAATACCAATGCTAAATATGTTCCTCCACAGTTTAATTCTACCGATAGAGTGCAAAGGTTTTTCATAATCGATGAAACAGCAGTATAAACCCTTTTTTCTTGCTCAAGTATTTGTTAACAAGTGATTGTAACACAAATATTGCGTCAACAGTTGACAACTCTTTTCTAAAACCAAATTGTGCATCAGACAAAATACCATAGGTTTTCTCCCACCGTAAGATTCTATTATTAAGAATTGTAGTAAATAACTTTCCGAAACAGCTCAAAATAGTTATTCCTCTATAATTATTTGTATCATTAACATTCCCTTTCTTGTACACTGGGACAATAAACCCTTTTGACCAGGACTCCGGATAGCATCCGCTCTCAAAAATATTATTAAATAATCTGTGTAAAAGTGGTAATAGAATTGTTTTACAATTAATAAAAACCTCATTTAGGATATAATCCTCACCACAGCTCTTATTAAGCTTAAGTTTACCTATTGCATCTTCAATTTCCTTTTCGCTGATTATTTGGTCTAATTCTTCATACGATGGATCCATATCCAAAATGCTATCATTGTCTAACTCAGCATTTGTTGTAGATACGAGATCTTTAAAATGGTTCAAAAAATCTTCATTGGACAGAGAAGTATGTGTGCGCTTTTTTTTCTTTTTAAAAAGAGCATGAAAATGTTTTGTATTATGTTTTCTCAAGTAGTCTTGCATATTTCCCTCATGCCGTGTGTACTGGCGTTTAAGTTTCTTTTCTGTTTTTTTATAGATATTTTTATCGTTACATAGAATTCTCCGGAATAAAATGGCTATGCGCGGGTATGTTAAGGAAGCATATATATCATTTCTCGGGAAAATTAGACTTTTTAAAGAAAATCTAAGTTTAATAATTTACCAAAACCGCTGCATGATAAACGTAAACTATTATTAACTATTGCATAGAGATAAAAGAGTGTCTAACGCAAAGACGTGCATAAACCACCACGGCATCACGTGAGTTCTATTAATAGCCAAATATTCGTTAATAAAAAGGCTAACAGAACAATACCCCGGAGTTAAATAATTCATTTGAGTAAATAATATAGTCGAAAAACATCTGTTTTGCCTAAAAAGTACTGCTACAATCCCACTATCCTGTCAGTAAAATAACCGCAATTTTTTTGTAAAACTACGCTTAACTCGGGATTCTAGAAACTTTCCATCTGTACAAATCTTTTGCTTTGAAATATCCAGCTTTTTGTTTTTTTTTGTTGCATTATTTTTGTCACGAATGACAGAGGAAAGGCTGACCGGGATACGTTTATAGCTGACTGTCTTCAAAAGCGAATATAATCGATGAAAATAAATTAGCATGCCTGTTAAATTAACTGAACTCCATGTATATATCACATAATATTCACGATAATGTAGCTTACACGAAGGATAATACGTAGGTTTTTAAATAGAAATCACATTTGCAGTCAAGGCAGATAGTTAAAAATGTAAATATAAGCAATGAATCATTATTTTTTGAAAGATATAGTCTCATAACTGCAACGGTGTGCGCAAACACATTTTCATAACGCGCGTAACTCAGTTTGTTTGCACATATCGTTGCAGTTTTGCGACTATATCTTTAAAAAATTATTCATTGCTTAAATGTCTGTTAAATCAAAGTCATTTATTTTTACAATCATGTTACTCTATTAATATGAAACTTTTAAATACTAGTACATTTATACCATTAGATGTAGAGACACGCATGTATTGAATTAAACATTATTCTTAAATACGCACTATTTCATCCATCCTAATAGATCAACTATAAGTCAATATTTTACTTCCATAAAGAACTCTTTAGAAACACTTGACTAAAAAGGTTTTGGTATTATTCAATGTTTAAAGTTCCGAGTTATTTCGACAATATTGTACACATGAATATGGTCACTAATTTATGGATGACTTTAATAATTTGTTTCAATGATTACCCTTTCATACATATCAGAGGTTTATTGGACAGGTAGAAATGCCACTATCCACTTTAAAAGTAAAGAAACATAAAACAAATTTTAGTATTGTTTTAAAGGATACGTTTTATTTTCTTCCTCTTTTAACGAAGTCTTTTGAAAAGAAAATACATGGTTAAAAAACAATGCATCATTTCACCTGGCGGGTTTCTTTGTCAAAATAGTTAGATGATCAAACATTTATATGCTATGTGTTGTAAAGTTACCTCATTGATTTCCATTATGCGTATATATTTGATTGAATCAGAACATTTCCTAAATTTTGTATGATTCCAAAAAGATCTTCAGCGATGTATTGGATAATTTTCCTTTGGTTTAGTAAGTAAAATGATAATTGTAAATTATTACTTATTTAAAATAAAATATCATTCATATTTCAACAATTTGAGATAAATTTGTTAAATGTAATTTTAACTTGGGAGAAATACAGTTGTAAAGTAAGCTGTGGGAAAAAATATACTGAAAACATGAAAAGATTTCCTTTTCGTACCGGCTTTTGAAAATTGCGAATATCACATGTCGATATTACATGGAAATATAGTACAAAGAGAATGAAAATTTTAGATAGGGTTTCAGGCATGTCTCTTGAATTTCTTTACTTTTAGCAATAATAAAATATTTTGCATTAATTTCTAAAGTTAAATGAAACACATGTTATAGGTAGCATACAATAAAAGAAAAACCCAGAACATATTAATATATGACTGCTTGGAAATAATTGAATACGCTAATATGGCTTCAGAGATTTTGTCCAATATCCTTAATTCCTTTTGATTTACTTGTATTAAAAAAATCAAAATTATGTTGCAGGATTTGGAACTATATATTACATGTCTACATTTTGTTCCTTAGAACGGACTATGTTTATGATTTTCAATCTATTCTTTTTAGAGTTGTTCGAGGTGATTTTTTTTCAGTTCTTAGATGGTTTCTTTGGAGAAAAGTGAACATTTTTGTTTAATATATCTTTAAATATCGTGACTATTTTGTCAAAATTAATCTATCAATAGAAACAAAATCAGTCAAACCCAATGATTATAATGTTCATTGTGATCAAACTTAGTGTTGTGAATATTCTTATAATTTATAATTATAAAACTAAAGTTTTTTTGTTTTTATCATTAGCGCTTAGAGCAGATGGTAGTGGCTTACAAGATAATAGTTTCCACACCGAACTCATTTCATTTGCTGTTGAGGAAATGAGTTGAATTTCTGTGATTAAATGTTCCATTTACTGCGCCTCGAATGCAAACTGCTTATCCATGGTTTACGATTTAGACACTAGGCTATGTTTTCTTCGTTCAAAGGGGATCTCCGTTGGTGCATTAACCAAACCCCATCTACCGACGAACATACGGGCTTTTACAAAAGGTAACTCCTAATTTCAAAGTATTTACAATCGGTTTAACTTAAGATAAAAATGAAGGATCTAGATGAAATTCATTAGCTTCCTGTATGTCATTAACACCACAGAGTATGACACAACTGTTGCAATTAGGATTTTAATAGAAAAAGACATTAAGGGGGAATTATTGTCTGGTTTCCGATTAGTTGAAATATTAAAGGTTTATTTCCTGACTTATCTTACACATTTAGATGTTATATATTAAAAAAAGATCATATTTTTCTTTGCCATCAGAAGTACAAATAAACAACTTTAATTAAAGAACGTTTTAAGTTTATTCCTATATTTCTACGCATGTGTTTATGCAAAAATGATATTCAAATCAATTCCACGGTTGGCTTATTAGATAAACACAGAGAAAGTAAATTTCCAGAAATGTAAAACCGAGTTTGAATCTAACAGGGACTACATTTTTGGCGGAAATAGCGGCATGTGAAAATATTTTTTCTGCTTATCAAACTTTTCAAAATCATTACTAAACGTAGTTATAATTTTTATCACAGACCTGAAGTAATTTTCAAAAGTAAATAAAAATACCGAGGGTATTTCAACTAATCAAATAAAAATGATTTTCTAGACAAACTACGATTATGTGTTTTTAAAAGCTTTCAAATCAGTACATATTTGTGTCAGAAATTCGTAAAAAGTGTTTTTTCTCTCTTAGTAAACGATCAAAACTTTTTTGTGAAAATATAAAAAAATTAAACATAGGAAACGTATAAGAATAACTAGGATATCCTTAACTTTAATGAAAATTATAGAAAATTCGGTGTAGCCAATACACGTTTAATTTTGTAATACCATCTTATAGTCCCTAAATGGAAATACTAGTATATTTTCATGCTGGATCTTTTACTGGAAAAAGACGTTGACCATTACTTAACAACAATGCTTTATGATAAACGTGATGACTTAAACGTAATGACGTAAACTTTCCTGAATTATACATTAATATACCTTCTTTTACTTGCATACGTAGTTTATATATCTCAGTCAATTCAATGCAAAAGATCATATTCTACGTTTGAACCATAATTAAAACGAGGCAATTAATAATTGGCAAACAACATTTGTAGTATATGTGATTTTTTTCACCATTATCTTAAATTCTTTACATAAAGAAGGACTTTTTACTTTGTTGTCATGCAGCGTAGTAAAACACAGAATAGGACAGAAAAAACCCTTATGCTTCTGTCTCACACCGCACAGACCTATTTAACACTGATGTTTATGCCAGAAATAATGAGTACTTACTGATAAAAAATCTACGATCATGTTCTAGATGATATAACGTGCTCTGATATTGGATACCAAGAGAGCAATTGGCAAAAAGATAGATGCTTTAAGGCGCACTACGACATAAAAACAAAACCGGAAGCTGACAAAGAATGCGCTAAAGATAACGGATTCCTCGTACAAATTGATTCCATCTCTAAACACAATGCAGTAAAACAGTTTATCCAAAGTCTCCCATCAGGTACATAACTCAAATTTCGATGTTTTATAATTCTAAAAATTGCTGTGAATTAATTGTATATTTGTAAAAAGACATTAATTTTTAGATCCACAACTTTAAAACTTGCTGATTTAATCTGTTCTCAATTAATAAGGGTTATGTTTTGGCTTTTTTAAATATAGGGTGTCCCAAAACATATCTTACACTTTTAACCATTATATAAATTTAATGCCTCAAGTTACAGTAATGAAATTTAATATATATAATGAAATTGTAATAATTTATTTTGTAAAGCATACATTTGTCACAGTTTTCTTATTAATAATCTACATATTTTCGTTAGAATAACATATGTCATTTTACAACATGTTACAAATGACGTTCCTTTGAGCTAATTAATATTGTTTGAACAAGATTTCTGAAGTTTTTATTTACCAAGCTTTAAATGTAATATTCTAACAGATCAGAAGTTTTTCCACATTAAAATTGGATTTCGCCAAACAATAGAAATCAAGATTCTTTTTAACAACATCGTTAAAATGGAAGTGGCCTTCACTGGAAAATCATGTAACTGTTAAATCTTTAGAGTCGAGTCTAATTAAAATCTAATGGGCAAACTCAAACAACTTCTAATTTCTATCTTTTTCAAATGCTGCATTACACTTATCTGGTAAATAATAGATTTTAAATCAGATTTGAGTATTTTATTAACACTAGAATTACCAAAGGTGCTATCTTGTTCATACAGGACCCGTTCAAGGGATTTTGGTAAAGTTTCAGTAATAATAGCAATGGTAATGTTCCCTTTGGTACGGGCATTCCTTGGTCTTCTCATACCAGGATTAAGTTATTTGTCATTTATGGTGCCTTTAACTTCAAACTCCCTCGCAAAACTGTAAATAAGTATTTTGTTGAGCACATTCATTACAGGATTCTTTTCTCATTGTACTAATGACTAAAGTAGCCATTTAAGACTGATAGTCAAGTTTTACAATTTCTGCAAGCTCTTCACATGAAGGTTCCAAATTAAAAATATTATGACGTCATAAGGACATCATAATTACCTGACTCTTCGACAGAATTTCTTTGAATTTTGTCAGATAAAATGTATGCTAATACATTAGATGTTGGCAAAATATCTTTGTGAATGCTTTTGGTTTGATAAAGTTATAGATGATTAAAAGTGTAACATATGTTTTGGGACACCCTGAATATATATCATTATCTATGTTTGATTACTAATCGATTTTTTTCTAGGAAATAAGTTTTTTATTGACGGAAGTGACGAAGCAATTGAAGACGATTGGCGCCTTTCTGATGGGAATCTCCTCTATCTAGACTGGAAACCAGGCGAACCAAATAGTTGTTGCAAAAAATATGAACATTGCGTCATAATCTTTAGAAATGGGAAATATAATGATGTTTCATGCATAGCGGAGATAAGTTTTCTATGTGAGAGGTCCTTAAGGACGTTCGATCCTGAGATTTTGAGCGTATTTTGGTCAGGTCCTTTATTTATAAAATTCTGCATCATTTTTAAGTTCTAACATTAAATCTGAATTCTACAGTGCAAATTTAACTATATCCAATGAAAAAACCGCGATTAAATTCCATTCAAGTAGAATTAAGCTAGGGACTATATTTTGTGGCGGAAGGTTTTTTAGACGAAAATGATCAGTTTTTCCATTTTGAACTATAACAGTACTGTCAATTTTGGATTCCTATTTTTCCATCCTGGTTGCACACAAAGCTGTTTTTTTTGCAGTGAAATGTGTTATGCTGGTTCTGAAATATCTATTAAATTATTACTTATGAATTCTATCAACAAAGTGTGACAAATATAGTCAATATATTCTGAAAATCCGGGGGAAAATTGAGCCAATCTTAACGTAAAATTGACACTTTTTTAGTAATATCTGAAAATTTACATCATATACCCCCACTTTTGATATTCTTTTCTAAATATTCAAGATAAATTTGACCTATTTGCTTAAAATCAGAAAAAGTTTAAGACTTTAAAATAATTTTCTTGCTTATTAAATTTTCAATGCCAGAAAAATCACTTTTTATCAGTGCAGAAAGGTCAAATAATTGATTATGCGAAGAAGTTTGAAACTTTTTCTTCATCACAATTTTTAAGTGTCATTTTTAAACAAACTTAGAATTCATTTTGTTTCATGCTTTAATTGGATAAAAATACTGGAGGGAAAACGTCAAAAATTTAATTTTTAATTAAGACATACATTTCAGTGTAAGAAGGTCATATTAAATGTACTATAGCGCCAAAAGAAGCGTATTGACCCCCATTTTTTGATTTGAATTTTAATTAAGCTATGTATGTAGAAACTAAAAATATACTCGGCAAAAAAAGTTTAAGACTTTAAATATCAGGATCGAACGTCGTTAAGAATTTGAAATATGTATTTAAAAGTACTTAGACACAGATTTGATGCTAATATTTTCTAAAATTTGCTGTATTATTTCATGACTTATAAGTTTAAATAACTTCCAGAAAAAAAAAATAAATTTTTATTATATTTTCGTATGAAATTCTATAGCAACATATAAGTTATGAGATTATACAGAAATCTGAGAAAACAATAACATAAAATCTGTGTCTAAGCACTTTTGAGCAAAAACTACCATTGTGATTACTTATTTAATTTTTTTTTTTGTATTTTATTTTTAATTTGATTTTACATTTACATCATACAAGGTATCTTGTGCAACCAACCCTAAAGGTTTCTTCAATAGCTATATTTTTATTTTGTTAAAGTTTTGCAAATTATGTATATTTGACGTCCTAATCATTCTGGCTTTTATCATAATTTTGCTCTGAAGTCTTTTGAATCATAGCATTGGATTTCTAATTTTCTATACAATATGGAGATAACTAACAGTATTTAAACCTAAAAGAATATTCAAACACGGACCTCAAAATTAGAAGTGGAATCAGGTACAAAGGAGGAGTAAACTTTCCTCGTCGAGTGGTCAACCCGCCTTGTGCTCCTCGTGCAAACGAAAAATCCGTACATAATTAATGAAATAAATAAATAATAAATAATCAAATAAAAACTAGTAGCATGAGTCATCAGACATATTGAATGAAACTTGATTTTGAGATCAAATCAGACTTATACACATTAAAGGTAACGTGTAAGCAATGATTATTTTTTATTTGTAAGTGAATCTACTATAAAAGATTTGACATTCATTAAATATTTGAAGTTTTACTTATATCAATATTGACAAGTAATGTAGACCAATGAGAAAAGCAACTAGCTGATTAACGTGTCTATTTTAATGAAAAAAAAAACTGAAGGAGGGATTAAAATCTGGTTTCTTAATCAATGGCATATGTGAAAGATGATTGCTTAAATGTCTTTAATATCAAGTTTTAAGATATAAGCTAAAGGGATTTCTAAAACCGTGTTTTCACTATTGTATAGCTGAAAATAGGTATAAGGTGAACTAAGTTTAAAATCCTTTTGGCGGAATGGTGGTTTATGAAAACATGCATGTATATTCATTCTGCATCTAAAATTGGAGGAGGGGGATTTTTCCTATATATTCCAATGTAAAACTTTAATTGTCCCTTGTGGCCCTACCCTACCCCGGGGGTCATTATTTGAACAAACTTGATTCTACACTACCTGAGGATGATTCCACATCAGTTTCATCTTTCCTGGCCCAGTGGTTCTTGAGAAGAAGATTTTAAAAGATTTTTCCTATATATTCCTATGTTAAACTTTGTACTTTGTGGTCCCACCCTTCACCCGGGGGTCATCTTTTGAAAAACAAATTGAATGTACACTACCTGGGGATGCTTCTATATAAATATGAGTATATGACCAATCATGGGTTTGTTGTTCTTTAAAAAAAAAGATTTGTCAAGATATTTCCTATATTTTCTTATGTAAATCTTTGACAGTCCATTGTGGCCCCACCCTACCCCCGGGGTTATGATCTGAACAATTTGAATCTACATTACCTTTGGTATACATTGGGAACAATACATAAATATACACAAAGCAGCAATTGGTAAAGAATCATTATTACAGTGCAATTGAGGGTACTTACATGTATTTACAGGAAAGTGGAGATTCTTGTACATTGTATTTTACCAAAATTGTTATGAAAATGAAGCTTAATATCTGTACTTTAGTGTTTCGAAAATAATTCCACGTTAAATATTATGGATTGTTTTCTTTGCATGTTTGAAGTATGACAACTTTTTTTTCGTTAATGTAACACTTGTTACCTTGCCATCAAGGTATACACTTATCCACTGGGTGTGAGTGGGATAGCTCTTTTATCAAACCCGCGACAGAGAACTATTAGGGAATAGTTTCTGTCAAGGGTTTGATAAAAGAGCTATCCCACTCACACCCAGTGGATAAGCGTTTTATTATACCGATGTATAATATAATTTCTGAGATTTGAATTTCTTTGGAGAAAGATAATACTGCAAGAATAATCTGAAATCCTGAAGACGTCACAATGCTACTGAAGTCATTATGACCTCACCAGTCGATAGATTTAACGCTGGAAATCATAATTGGAGGCAAAAATTGCATGAAAATTTTATGAGGGTGGATAGCAAAAACTATACCCCGGGGTATAGCTTTGCTATGCGTGAACTATAAAAGATAGATATTTTACCTTCTGAACTTTATATGAGAAACATTTAAACAGAAGTATAATAATAGTAATTATAATAAAAATTACATTATTTCAAATGTGTATTGCCATGAATGCCCTCTAATTTAATAACGACGTTATAGCAGGGATAAAACAAATCAGACCGATAAAGAATTTATTTGGGATATTTTTTACCATAATGCAAAAGAGAGTAATATTTTTGCTGCTAAATGTTATTCAATACAAAAGCACTAACACGTGTAACACTACTATTATATTGTAAATAACTAAATGAAAATGGGGTTTTCACATAATTACCTACAATGACCCAATAAGAATATATATATATATATATATATATATATATATATATATATATATATATATATATATATATATATATATATATACACTGTTTTACTTTTTCCTGTGATTTTTCTGACATCTGGTGGCTTTTGTATGAACTTTGCAAATTGTATCGTATGTTACAACAATATTATGCTTACTGCAATTTTTACACATCAGAAAAAGTCATGACCAATTTTGTTTGCTGATTTTGATATTATTAGAGTGTAATAACTTGTAATCTTAAAGAATTAAAATATATTTCCGGCTTACAAGATATCAAGTTATGCCATGAGTACAGTTCTGTATCATCATTTTTTGCAAACTCATCATAATTTGCAATATATGTAAAATAGCTTTGAGCTCTAAAGTCAAGTTTCTCATATGTGAAAGCAATGTACTTTTTTCTAAGTGTTAATATATATAAATCTTTAAAAAAAATTAATTTGTATCTGCAGTTAAGACGTTAAACAGTAACGCACGTTACAATTTGAAACTACATTTTGTCAGACCAAATAATTGTCTAAATAACTAAGTTGCAAAGATAAGTCATGAATTCTAAAGCAAAAGCAAAGTATATGAAATGTAAAGGGAAAAATTACGTATTTATGGCTTTAACTTTTAAAATTCCATTGTTCAGTTACATCGGGGAGTCTATTTACTTACAAGTTAAACAGATCTTATTGTACATAATTTAATTCCTTCTGCATAAATTGTTTGATGAATATATCATATTTCTTTTGTCCTTTAATATCCAATTATATATAATTGTTTCTGCATTACAGCATATGTCTTGGCCATTACTACCTGAAGGACAAATATGTAACATGCGTTACTGCATTAAAACTTTTTTCTACAATGTAAACTGTAAAAAAAAATTATAACAGTATTTCCTTGACTGAAAATAATGAGTCCACGTAACCTTATAACCGCATTTTTCTGTCTGGGGTTTCTGGATTTTTTTTTTCAAAAAATGATTAAACCCAATTTTCATTTAAGAGTTCCTCTGCAAATAGAAGATGTACTCCAAAACGTTTTTAAACAGATACGAAGATTAATATGGCTAGCCGATATTGCATCGTGCTGATAACAGCTGTCCAATTAATAATTTAACCTGTAACAATAATTAGATTACAAACGTTACTATGTTACGGATGTTGCATGTTTTTTCTTATGATTTAAAAAAAATACTACGAACGTGGATTGTTTTGTGAATTTACTTAAGTGATTAAGATTATTGATAATTGTTTAAAAAATAAAATCATAATTTATGTGAAAGTTTCATAGAAAACATCAATTATGTCATCCTTTGAACAACATTAACAATTGATTTGATTTCTCGAGATATTCAACTCTTTATTTCATTTTCAAGTCCTCTAGATTCTTGGAATTAATGATACTGCAGTCGAGTCCCAATATTTCACATGTGTTAGGTCGCATCTGTATAACTATAATCCCTACAAAACGTCTGTGAGAAAAATTCTATTGTAACGGATGTTAAGTACGTAACGTATGTTTCATTCCAGTGTGTAATTTTTAAAAAAGAGAAAAGTTTCAAACATATTTTCTGGATATTATGTTTTGTTTTTAAAGTAGGATTCTTCTCATATTTCTAATATTTTAAAATTAATGAAATTTTCACAGAATCAAGAAGACAATATCAGTAAGTGATAGTATCAGTGAGATTAAATGTTCACAATGTATTCTCTCTCTCTCTTTCTCTCTCTCTCTCTCTCTCTCATCATTTTGTACCTAATAGTTATCTTTTCATTTGAAAGGGAATGAAATAATACTTAAAAAAAGAAAATGGGCGACAAATATATATAAAAATGTTAATAAAAAATAATTTACATAATTTTCATTTCACAAATATAACTACTAGTCATAAAACAGTTACGGTCATTCCATCGACCTATTATATCTTTTCTAGTATATGCATGAACGCAATTTTCAGAGCTATCTATGTCATTTGGTTCATTTCCCGCCCAGAAACTGAATTGTAACGGTAGTCCTGTAGAATTCCATACAAACTTTCCCTCTGTTACCATATCCGAAGCGCCAATCCATGGATAAGTATCTAAAATGAATAACAATTTTTGCTATTTAAAATTATAAAACTTTTATTTTCTAAGATATGTACCCGAGTACTAGTATAGATACCCTAGAAATAAATTATTCACCAACTACTCCTGAAAGCAATGTATCTTCCTTTATTTTTATGGAGAAAAGGCATAATGATTGTATTGATTATACGAATATATAATTCAATGACTAATTCATATAATTATAAACTGCGAACTCTTATCAGTTTAGAAGCATATTTCACCATTGAAAAAATCTTACCTTCCCCCTGATGCAACCCGAGAATGCTTACAATGAAGTTATTCTCTTCTTCACCTTCAATTTCCACCAGTGAACTGCCATATTGTGAACATTTTTGCTTTATAAATACGAACATGAACTGAACTTTAAGAACATTTCAACTTTTGGAATGAGTAAAGAAAAATAATTGCAACAAAATAAACCAATATGAAGATAAGATAAATTAAACAGTAATAAATTGTGCGAATTTTTTTTTGTTTGAGTTAATACCTGTGCGTTCACCCATGTCGCTGTATCCAGCGAAAAGATATAGCAAGACTGACGAAAATATGTCCAGTCTGGGTCACAAACTTAAAAATAAAAGAACGATATTTTTTACTCCTTATTCATATCCGTCCTGAAATTAATAACATCTATCAATAAAGAGTAAATCTAAATTTAAAAATAAAAATGCAGTTATTAAGGTGTCAAGGTATTTTTAAAATCTAAAGTGCTGCCTTTACATTGTCGAAAATCGTTTATATTCATACCTCTAGACTCGAGTGCATTTAACCTTTTGTCCAAAACCTTTATGATTTTATTCATCGATGCGCTTATGTCTTGAAGCATATTTCTGAAGAAAAATCTTTCCATTATATCTTCTCTGCAATCGTCAGTGTTAAGCAATTTCTGGCTGACTGTATTTTGCATCAAAAGGCACATTAGTTGAACGAATATCATAAAATATCCCATTTTCTCTGAAAGCAAACACTTTATTTACATGTTCTAATACTTTGACCATACACTCATGTACGTTTCTTTTTAAATCTTGAATACCCTATGATTTGATTTACTTTACCAATTCACCAAAAGAACATTTTCGGTTGCTAGAAATTTATTTGAGCATTGCATTTCAAATTTGGATGTTATCGGTTGAAAAGTGCTAACAAATTGAATATAACAGACACGTTCAATGCTTATTTTTGATTTATTCAATTTCTTCATCTTCATAATGATTGCCATCATTCATTTTCAAAACGTTTTATTATATGCACAAATTTCACTTTCAAAATTGGCGTGAGGATGATCTACAATTAGAAGTAAAAGTCATGGGTCTTTCGGATGAGACCTTTAAAACGTAGGTCCCGTATCGTGGTAGGCGTTGGCACGGTAAAGAATCCTCACTGCTCAATGGCCCTGAATGCCGAGTACTGTAAACCAACTTTTATTCGCGACGACTTTATTTCGCGATTTACAGGGGATAAAGAACTTCGCGACGATTAATTTTCGCGATTAAGCCTTTTTGTAAGTGTCTTTAATAGAAAAAGAGACTAAAAGGATCCTTTCGCGACGAGAAATATTCGCGATGACGAGGCTCTCGCGAACCTTGCGAAAATTTCTCGCACGCGAATAAAAGTTGGTTTACAGTATATATCTAAATTTGAAGCCCTTTACCGGCATACGGTGACGTCTCCATATGAGTAAAAAATTCTCGAGAGGGACATTAAACAATATACAATCAATCAGTCATTCCTTTTCGATTATACTATAAATCAGAATGTATTCATAATCCTCTACATGAGAAAAGAAAATACTTGTATGCTGTAGCCTTTCAATTTCACATTCAGATATAGATTCAGATACATGTATATCAACAATGTTTTATCGATTTAACAAAAGTAATATATTTATTCATATGTCGACTCAATATATTATAAAGAACTTGAAATTGTAATCTAACAACAAATCTTTATGATAAACGTGATGACTTTTACTTTTCCGTCATCAACTTTTCTTACTCATGCAGCAATATACCGTCATCACCTGCATACGGGGCTAATATCTCTCAGTTGATTCTATATGCAAGAGCTTTTTCCTGGTATGAACCATTTCTAAAACGAAGTAAATTATTGAAAAACAAGTTGCTGAAACTAGAATATCAGCAGTCTCGTTTGAAGTCATTATTTTGTAAGTACTTTGGTCGATACAAAGACCTTGTCATCAAATACAATTTATCATTAAGTCACATGCTGACTGACATTTTTGATACTGAATATTAAGTCATTATATACAGAGTGAATTGTTGACGAGTTTTGCCTGATATCCCATCTAATTATGACAAGGAGCACCCGGTGGTTTTGACCAATTGGCAGGGGATGCTTACTCGTCCATGGTACCTGATCCCACCTCTGATGTTTTGGATGGCTGTGTTCATGGTGTTTGCTCTGCTCAGATTTTATATTGTTTAATGGATTTTTTATCTTGAAAACTGTTCATTTTGATTAGGCCAGTTACTTTTTTCACTTGCCGAATAACTAGGAATTAGGAATTGAGAATAAATATCTCACCTTTCTTGGGTTTATGACGATGATTAAGCAATTGGATTGTATAAGAATCTTCTGTTGTTGTTTATTTTTATTTCAAGAATTTTTTTACTCACACGGAAAGGCCACTATTGTACTTGCCGGCGGAAATCTGTATATATTAAACTAAACTCGGCTCTTGGGCCATTGAGGACTTAAAGGTCTTTTTCGTGCAAGCACCTACTGCGACATGGGATCTCGGTTTGTACGGTCTCATCTGAAGGACCGTTATTCTCGTCTATTTATCAAACTAAGGTTACAATCAATCAGAAAAGGTCTATGACACTTTCCTTTAATTAAATGTATTTTAACGAGTAATTTTTAAATAATATTATTCAATTAAATGTGATTAAGATAAATATTAAGCAAAATAATGATGAAATCTTACCATAACTTTTAAATGAATCTTTTTTCGAAGGTAGCTTTTGTCTGTTTACGTGCATGAGCTTTAAACCATTTGCCGAATGACTTCCTTATTATCTCTACGTAGACCAATTTCCCTTGGGCAGTTTTTACAATAAACTTTTATTTTGAAAGAGTGGGCCTTCTGATGAGTATGCAACGAGTCTTCTTTGGCTAAAAAACTTCTTTTTACTTTAAATTACGGAAATGACATGTACTTTGAGTAAATACATAACGTTTAATAAAAAATAAAACTTTTAAAGGATGGAACAAATTTCTTTTTCAAGATTACACCGTCTGCATGACGTACGTTCATTGTTATTTTAGTAATGTTCAAATGGAAAATAACATAATATTGTGAGAATCTATTCTCAAATAAACAAAATGTATACATGTATATGCATGTACAAGCTTACGAGGGGTGATCAAAAAGTTCGCGAACTAATTGAATAACTTTCATAAAAGAAACAATATTTACTTTCGGTGTTGATTATATTTTAAAATAGTCCTCTCCAATTTTAATGCACATCAGCCACCGTTCTGCTCATGAGCTAATCACATGATATAGGCGGTAACATGACCCCCTCCGTAGCGTTCTGGCACAAAAGCAGAAAGATTTTTCTGCGTTTTAAATTAATTTCCAGTAAATTCTTATAACAAGAACAGTTCCTATGTCAGAAATGGTCAATTCTCGGCAACAGAATGAGTGGACAAGAATATTCTTTTTCAAAAATAAGCATGCCGACCATCAAAACCGAAACCTTCTGTCCCGAGAGAGACGTTTATTCAAGATGGATAGAGAATGAGTGTCTCTTTTTTTATCATATCTAATATGTTTAGAATCTTTAGTAAACGATATCTTAGGTTTTTGATAATTATATTATTGTTAGAATATAAAAATATTTTTCAAAGTGTAAATTGGAGTTCTTTGATAGCATATTGCTTAATTAAAATCATATCTCTTTTCAAACTCGCTTTCACTGGGCAGCATAACAAATATCATTTTAACCATCTGTCTTCCTTCATTTAAACGATCAATCAAATCATCTTTTGAATTTATAGGAGGTCTTTTTTGCATAAAGGTGCATATATGTAATATTTTTATGCATACAAAGTTTGGAAAGGTTACTTGAGTGTGGCCACTTGCAAATTTCGAAATAATTGCAGTAAATTCGGCGTTTTTAAACAATTTTTAACTTCATAGGTATATTTGTTCCTGCGTATGTGCTTACGACGGTAGCCTGTGTGCCAAAAAATTAAATTTAGGGTACCATGACATTCTGCTCTACAAAATAACATATGATAGGCTTTGTGATTTCAAACTTAAATTTCGTCTAAAATTAAAGGCAGATATTGATAGTTCGTGGCTTTAGCTCTTTATATATATATTTTGTGTACCAATAAAAGTTACGAAAATACTGTAAATTACACCATAAAATTTGAACGCTTTATAAAGATGTCAAATTATAATTACATGTATTTATAATCCTGCAAGGAAAGTAATGCCTCTACTTAGACAAATGTTAAATAAATCCACCACGTGACACCGTCGCTACTTTTAGATTGATAAACATACATGGCGTCAAGAAATCGAGGTAGGCCATTTGGGATACAACTTACTTTTGCTATGGATGGCAAACGTCATGCTCTTAAAGAAACATTTTTTTAAATGTAATCAGTATGGATTATCTACTCTCTAATGACAGATATAAGCTTTTAAATACTATCGTAGTCAAAATGGAACGTACCTCGTTGTCTATGATTTCCCGCGGACATGCGTGTCTATATACCGGTACTGTTTACGCACTTCCTTCATCAATATTCATAAAAAGACTGAATTTTAAATTGCCGATATTGCTTAATTGTTTTGTTATTACGACTTTTTTAGTCAAATTTTGTGGAAAGTATTTATTTTCATTACACTTCATTTGTCTCAAATTTCAACCTTTCCATTCAAATGTATCTTAAAAATTATTGGTGAGAAAGATGAATCCATATAATACATTCCCCCTGTTTTAATATACCATGTCCCTCAAATTTTGCCACCAAAATCTGCAAAGGGAATAAATTATTTGTCATGAGCCACATTTTCCTTTCTTTCTACCATTATTTTACATTTTAGTAACAGTACGAAGAAACTGTTGAAGTTATAATCGTCACATCAAAATACTCATTAAAATTAACATTCACAATTCCATAATTATGTAATTAAATTTTTGTGATTTTTTTCTTCCTTTTTTAGGTACAAAAGTTAAACAAGTACTAGGGAAATGCAATAACTAAAATGAAAAGCCTTCTACAGACCACCACTATTCTTATTAGGTCCAAAACACTGTTCGTAGGGGCTGCCCCTGGCAGTAAACTCCCTATAAGATATTGAAATTCAATAAACAGAGAACATCATTTTGGCTTAAAGTGAGTGTTATACAAGTAAATACCTTTAATATACATCGATGTGTGACAGTAAAGGGGGAGGGCTTGGTCAATTTGCATAGGTATTTTTGTCAAGTTCATTTTTACCTAAAACTGTTTGGAAAACTTCTTTAAAATATTTTAATATATCCAGAGCATGTAATATGGAACATATGGAGATAACGAACAGTATTCAAGGTCCGTAAAACATAAAATGATGGGATATTCTCATAAAATATGACATAAAAATCAAATATAATACATTTAATATTAGATAGATTGAGCCATATTTTAGTTTTTTCAACATTACTTAATTAATCCTCCAAAATATATAAACACAAGTGAATCAATCTTTGAATATTTTTTATGTTGTCATGGCGACAATTTTGAAAGTCATTTATTTTGATTTTAACAAAAAAACCCCACAACTTTCCTTTTTTCAGTATTTTTTCCCTTAAATTCAAATTCACATTATACATGATTAAGAATGTAATGTCGCTAACTTTTCTTTAATTAATACTCAAATTATATAAACATGCAATTTTTCAATAATGATGACCTACAGAATTAAGATTTTGGTGATTAAGGTAAGGTTTGCGTCTCCCTCCAATTCATATTTTTTAAAATCTGCACACATGTTATATATCAATTTATTCAGGGAGATTACCTTCATCATTTCATATGATTTTCAAAGAAATCGCCCGTCCCATCTTTTTAATATAAGACGCCAAATTTAACGTATTTCGTATTTCACCTCGAATATTATTTTCATTGAAAAAATTGATTTATTTTATAAATTATCAAACTCAAATTATTAAATTGGCCTGAATTAGTACCATTCATGCTTCTATTATTTAAACTTTTAATTTTCCATTATCAAAAATGTGATAATTTGGGTAAAAAAGAAGATTTTTCAATTTTCCTTCATAAAGTAAATCTGTTGCCATGGCAACAAAAATATAAAAATCAACATTTTCCATATCTACCGATTCAATCAAAATCCATGAAGTTATTAATTTGATCATTTTCATTAAATTGAACTAAAAAATTATGTATGTCCCCAATATTATTTCCATGGAAACAAGGGCTATATTAGGGTTCTGAACATAAAAATCATGCTTTTTCTACACTTTGAAAGTCAACATTGATATCACTTTGTCATGGAGTACTCATCAGACTAAATGTTATTTATTATATTGTTTTTAGGCATAAATTGGCCATAAATATTCTAAATAACACTCCATCTGTACTACATGATGGTATAAAAATTTATTCCATGGAAGAACTCTAGTATTTATGGCAATCTTTGCATCTGAATATTCTGATGAAATTGTCCATAAATTATACTGCAACACCTTTTGAAGTATATGTATATAAACATATTTCAGAACGTGTTGCAACTAAACCAATTAAGAGCCAATGAATTTGAACTCATGCTGATTTAGTCATTCCAACATGTATTATTTTCTAGACATCTTTGTAGCAATTTAGCAAAAGATCTGTATTCAGTTATGGCTGGTGACTTTGTCATTATACATGTATGCCATTCTTTGAGTGAAATGTTGTAAGCATTGCATCCACGAAGCTGCTGTTTTTATTATTTTATGATTTCTTTACTTCGAAAAGTAGAAATGCTATCTTTAAAGTAATGTTTGTTTGCCCTCTCTTGACTCAGGGTAAAATTATTGGGTCAGTAGGTGAGAAAATCTTCAACATATTTTTTAAGGGGATAAGAGGAATAAAAAGAAAAAAAAATCGGTCCTGCATTGAAAAAAGAAAGTTTTGAGTCTGGCCATTTTAGTCAGTCGGTCGGGAGAGGCCAGCAACCAAACATTTTTTTAAAGATGGCCTAATCTATTTCTACACTTCATGGACATTAGATCAATCATTGGATTCTGAGAATCTAAATTGAAATGTCTGAAAGTAAGAACAAAATAAAGATGCATTCTAAGTGACATCAATTCATACTTTAATGAGTTTATAGAGTACTACTGATTTCACAGAAAAGGCAAATTCTGCCAAATGACATAACACTGTCATAAATATTTGTCAAGAACAGGGAAAAAGAAACAATGCTACAGTGACAGATATATTCCCTGGATATCCATGAAATAATAATTTAAATAAAACAAAATTTTCTGCTTAATAAAATCAAAATAAAGAAGAAAATTGAAAGATTATAAATGTAAACAATTTTAAAAATGAAAAAACCTTACAACTTCCAAGTCTCATGTTTTAAACTGTTACAGTAGATATAATTATACAATGTACCTTGTAACTTTATGTACAAAACTCATCAGTTTTCAGAAATGCTTATTTGAGCATATTAGGTCCTGGTGAGAACAAAATTTAATGAAAAAAATATTAATTTTAATTGTTCATATATTAATTTCCTTGCACTTTTACAAAAAATTTAAGTATAGACAAAAGCAACCTTCAATTAATACCTATGATGAATACATTTATTTTACTGAACACATTAGTTCAAAGATGGTCAAACAGAGCATGTACTGCAATCATCACAGACTCATTTTTTCTAAATATATGGAAAAAAGCATGTAGATACTAGATAGGACGTTGTAAAAAACATTAAATTTTCTTCTATACTATCTATAGACATAATAAAATATGCATTGGGTATAACAAGTCAGAAGTCTTCTCCAAATC